AAAATTAGCATCGATTAATATCTATTTTTTTTATCAATCGATTGCTGACCAAAAATTGATGGTGATCGATTTTGGTTTGCAATCGATTGATAAAAAAAAAATCGATTACCATCAATTTTTTCTAATCGATGGTAATCGATTCTCAGTTGATAATTGATTGCCAACCTGATTTAAAATTTCGTGATGAATGAATGATGTTGTAATCAGATTGTTGTAGAATATGATATATTTTTTTTAGAAGTTTATTTTTTGTTTGTTTGTTGTGGGACAAAAGTGATGCTGGGAAGTAACATGAAGTGATGTGAATTGTAATGTTGCCTGAGAAAGCGAGTGTGATATTTATGAGATGACCTTCAATTGTGGTAATTTTTTGTATATGTTTTACCCATTCGTATTTAATCAGTATGCTAACTTCATGACCAAAAGGATGTGTGTTGTTGACAGTAAAAATGTGATTATAAGAATTGGATTTTGAAAATAGGAATTTTGCTGATTGTTGTTTAAGTTTTGTTTCTGTGAGACAGAGGATGTCGATATTATTAGAGTGAAAAAATTGTAAGATATTGTCTGCTTTGCCTGGTGAGTTCAGGCTTCTTGTATTTAGGGTGCATATTCTTAGTGTGTTTGATAATTTGGTACTGATATTATTGAAGGATGGAGAGTAAGTGTTTGTTATATTGTTATGTGTGCTATTTTGTAAAGATGGAATTGTTGTGATGTTGAAAGTAGATTGTGTTTTATTGTTGTTGTGAGGGTACATTGTTAATATTTTGTTCAAGTTGGAGTAATCTTTCACTGAGAGTATTGTATAATTCGTAGAGCTGTTTATTTTTGATTTGTGAGTTCGTTGATTGTGACATCTTTTTGATGTAGTTGATTGATGAGCTTATCAAAGTGAAGAGTTTTGTAAGGAGTATTGATGGTGTTGTCAATGAGTTCGTCATTCTGCATGAACATGTCATTGATGTTGTTGTTATGATTATGTGAGACAGTTGTATCATCAAATTGTGTGTGAGTAGAAGTTTTTGAGCTTGGTGTTTGAGTGGTGAGAGTGTTGAGAATTTTATCTAGCTTGGAGTCGAGTTGTTGAAATTTTGCCATGATGTTGTTGATATCATTTCTAAGTGAAGTGACTGCATTACGAATAGATGAGATTGAGTTTAAAGAATTGTCAATGGAAGTATTGTGAGAGTTATTAAGGTTTGTTTGATTCCAAGGACGTAGCATAAGTGACCTCGTGTTATCAGAAATATTAGTCTGTCTTTCTGTTTTTTTGGAAATTGTAGATGAATTCTGTAAGAGAGCTTGTTTGTATGATTTTTTTTTGTAGGAGTGGGTATACTGATTTCTGGTTTACGAACTTCCAATCCTTTTTTTTGATATAACTTGTTTAGTTGTTTGTATTGAATAGAACAGTGCAATTTACTCTTGCAAATTGAAGCTTGATGTCCTATTTTAAAGCACATGTTGCATGTGATAGCTATAGGTAGTTTCCAATTTAGTTGCGAATTTCTAAGAATAACGTGTTGTTGCATAACGAATGCAGCATCCAGTTCAGATTCGAAGAGGATCCAAGTGAAGCGTTGTCGTTGATATTTGACAGGTGATCTTGGGATAAAACAGGATCTGGCTTTTATGGATGAGAGGAATTCATCTAGTTCATATGCAGTGCATCTGTATGATAAGTTTGTTAGTTTAAGTTTGTAATGCTCTCGAGTTATTATAGTTTGATATTGATTAGTGAGAGAAAGGATTCTAACTCGATCATTGCCTACGAGGATGGACCAGTGTGATAATGCATCGTTGGCTTCATCTATGTTGGAATAGTGGATTGTTGTATATTGCCATTGATTAATAATTTTTTTTCGGAGTTCCACTATGTGTCCGAATATGGAAAAAACAGATCTTATGAGACTTTCTTCAGTGTTGAGAGGAACATCTTTGAGAGCAATGATGTTGTTGATAAATTGATTGATTTCATGATTGGGTTTGATGTTGGAGAAATGTTGATCATGAATTGAGATTTGGAGTGCTTGATCTAATCCTTTTTGTGAATTGAATGAGATTTGG